ATAAAAATTGGACATTGTTGTCATATTACATGCAGGCACGCAATTTCACCACCGACTTATTTAGTTGAAATATTCCCATTCTATTACAATTATTCAGAACGACATTTAACTGTGAGAGCGAAATTCTCAAGTAAATCTATTGTAGTAATTAATAAGTTGATTAGGCTATTAAATAAAAACCTATTAGAGTTAACAGCACTGTGAAGCCCATGCCTAGGCTCTGTTTGATCACCAACGTGATAAACTCATTGAGAACACTTTGACACTTTGAAGGGTTTTGATGTCTTCTGATAGAGTTTTTGGCCAATATTACTTCTGGTTATGGTAAAAAATCACGCCAAATTTTTGGGAGCAAAAAATATGGGTGAGCTTATATATTTTGGCTGTTTAACAATAAAGACTCCAAAATCCACTATCAGACCTGGTGAATATGGTCCAATAGTGCGCGATTCGTATCCAGTATAAGACCTGTTGAACATGATCCAATAGACGTGCGGTGACCGTCTCCCTTATCAGACGTGATGAACATGGTCTAATAGACCTGCGGTGTTCGTCTCCACGATCAGACCTGATGAACATGGTCCAATAGACCTGCGCGATTCGTATCCAGTATCAGACCTGTTGAACATGATCCAATAGACGTGCGGTGACCGTCTCCACGATCAGACCTGATGAACATGGTCCAATAGACCTGTTCGTCTCCACGATCAGACCTGATGAACATGGTCCAATAGACCTGCGCGATTCGTATCCAGTATCAGACCTGTTGAACATGATCCAATAGACGTGCGGTGACCGTCTCCACGATCAGACCTGATGAACATGGTCCAATAGACCTGTGGTGATCGTATCCACGATCAGACCTGATGAACATGGTCCAATAGACCTGTGGTGACATGATCCAATAGACGTGCGGTGACCGTCTCCACGATCAGACCTGATGAACATGGTCCAATAGACCTGTGGTGATCGTATCCACGATCAGACCTGATGAACATGGTCCAATAGACCTGTGGTGATCGTATCCACGATCAGACCTGGCAAACGAACACGCAAGCGGAAACGTCTTCGCAAGATTGCCTCCATGACATTAGGTCCAAACGAATTTAGATAAGCAGCGAGGTCATCAGATGTCAGAAAAAGCCTTGTGGCTGAATCATGAAGCGATGTTCAAAAAAGTGTGCAACTAATAAAAAATTATTTATATTAAAGTTAGATAATGAGGAGTTTTATTAGATTGTAGAGAATATGTGTGATATAAGGTTAAAATATAAAAAAACATCGTATAACAATTTTCTTTGATACACAGTACAATAATTTGAATCGGGATTTATATTTGATTGCATTTGGACAACTGGGTTATACTTCAAATACATATTTTCACTTGATAAAATAATATTTTTATTGAAAATAAATATCTAATGATAAAGTTGCTCGTTGAAATAACTCGACGCGTGTTTTGGAAAATTTCTATGCTGGTGTATTATATTTAAATTTCCCAGTGAAATTTTTGTTAAACACCACTTCATTGATTTTTGAACCATTGCAACTCCTTTCTCTTAACCAGATTAGCCACATTTACCTACTAAACCAGTTTAACAATTTTACTTTACAATTTTAAACTGCTTAATGGGCTTGTTTTACTCCTCACACTCAACCAGTTTAGGCTTTTTTACTCCCATTCGCGCAGAACCAGTCTGAACCCTCCTTGTGAACCAGCTTTAAAACCCCCTTAATAGAACAAGTTTGCCCTCTCCCACTGAAGTTATTTATCCCATCATGAAATACAATTTTAATCATCCAAGTAAAGTTGCATGAGTACTACCACTTAATTAGTTTAGATTCGAACCCCCGATGCAGTCAAATCTCTCTTATTCAACCAGCCTGAATCATCTTACTGCACAGATTTGAATCCTATTTCTGAAGCGATCTGATGTTATACTGGAGTAATTTGAACTCTCCTACTGTATCGGTTTGAATCATACTACTAAACCAGTATAAATCTTCATTACAAACTTTTTTGAACGCTATAGTGAAGCAGTTGATATCCACTAGCTGAAGTTCGGGTTTGTCTCGAGAGTAAACGTTGAACTTGGTGAGGCCATCAACACGAGTCCATGTGCGAACTAATCATCAGTTGGGATCAGTAAGTTCCAATTAATAAATTATTATTATTAAAGTTGCAATCAAACATAGTAATTTATATAGTGTGAATACAATTTCAATTTGTTTTTCGTAGTCAATAAAAAAAGATCCTGCTGATAAATCGAAGTACTCGATATCAACACTCACGCACATATGCATGTGTGACAGTCAAACGGTAATCGTTAACAATAACGAATTTTAACTTGTCACCTGCTGATAACATAGGCAAAAATGACAGACATTACCCCACATTGGCTAAAAACACTCACAAAAATAATGGACCTCCACCTCTCATTGTTGAAACTACAAAAAATTCTTATTTTAGAAATTACAGTCCACTAGATCAAATTCGACTACGTGACCTACGACAGAACCTTGCCAATTCAACTCGGAATGTTGTACCATTCTAATTTTCGTTGTATTTTCGGAACACAAAACTAATAATAGAGAAAAAGACATAAGGTCCTAACTCGTGTAACCAACCAGCATGGTGCAATTCAAGTAGGTCGGACTGACCGAAAACTCAGGTATGCAAAACTATGGGTTTTCCTTAGACTATACTAAGTTTATTTCTGTACGACTCATCATAATTGCGCAAGACATAAAAAAAAGTAACGCCCGTGCCTGCAAAAGAACGACCTTCGATGGCAGCTCGTCTGGGACTTTTGACCTATCGGACTACGGCATGGAACAACTCGTCGTTTATTTTACAAGTGATGGAGAAAAACCAACGCGCGACACAAGCATGAATTAATGTGCAGCTGAATGGTCCTTGGATCAGGCTTGACCAGGAAGGATCGGGCACCCTATGTACGGCTCACGGCGTCGAAATTTCCGTGGTGGATAGATTGAACTACACGCGACCTTACTGTTTGTTTGAAAGTAAACCGATGTAAGGGAGCTGGTAAGGCGAGCACCTATGGAACTTTCACTACATGGTGTTCTAGTACGCAGAGAAGTAAATAAATATTTTATTCATACTAGAGAAATAAAATTATTTTCGTGCGGGACAGTGAGAAATTTTTGGTGAGCAATGAAAGCGTGGGGAGTAGCTACGCAAAATCTGCACCTGTAACGCCTCGCGCTGCGGCCTTGGCATTCGCGGCACAGGCGCCGAGATGCCTTCTGAAAAACTTTGCCTTTTGAAACCCTCCATCGCTCCAAATAATGCGTCTATTGACTCATTTTCTGGGCCATTCTCAGCTGAATCTATTGCACTTATTACCTTTTAAGCTGAGAAGACTGTTAAGGGGTTTGAAAACCTTGCCGATTCTAAACACATTCAAATAGTTGGCGTATAAGTCCGCCATTTACCTTCACAATAAAGGGAGGCTGGAATTTATCCGGAAACGCTCATGAAGCCACATTGATGGGACTTAATATGAAGGTTGTAACCTTGCATGGCGTCGCAGCTGCGCATTCCACATTCAACAACCGAACTTCAAGAGGCACATAAAAAGCAAGAATTTTTGACGCAACTCCAATCACGCTGTCATGTTTGTTTTTTGGATCAACCTTCGCCATTCGTGACGCTCATCCAGTTCAGCCTTCACACTGAAATTCATAGGAAAATCATGCGATGACGATCAGTTCTTGGAACCCGGAGTCCATCGCATAATTGGGGAAGTGTTTTGGTAAAATATATTTATTTTCACAGCTCCCGCAACTTATTATACGAATTCCACGCCGCGAGTTTTGTCGACAGTTGCTAACTAAACAACATATTTCGAAGAAATTAGAAAGAATCACAAAGAATGCCAAAAAATCGCAGATCTTGCTCCTATATTGACCATCCTTTAGCGTCATAAAAATCAATTACATCAATAATACACGTTTTTTTATTGAAGGTTCAGTACCCTGAGTTTTAATTTGTTCATGTGTTGTGAGATAATACCGACAGTCAATCGCATATAAAATAAAAGTTATTGCTGGTGTTCCATGAGTGTCGACCAAAATTTGGTTATAAGCGCATGAGCAAATGAATGTCGCCATGTTGTTTTAACAATCCACTGAGATCATTTAATAACATTGAATATACATAGAGATTTAAAAAATGTATTGAAGGGGTTAAGGTTATGAAGTTTATTGAAAGTGAACGTCCAGAAACAATGCATCGAATCACACATTTTTGTTAAATTTAATGAACTAAGTGGCAACGATGTGTGTCAGAATTGCGCAATTAACACTGAATATAGTGAATGCAAATAAATGTGATATGACATACATATGAAAATACATTCATTTCTTCGAAATACTGAACAAAGTGAAACTGTTGTAAAATGAAATTATTCAGCAAAATTAATTGTTTCCAGCAACAGTATGGCTTAATGTATGAGGTGAAATTTCGTTCATGTCTATGGTATAGCTGAGTCTATGGAATAGCATTTCACTAATATTAATAATAGCTGATAGTGGGGGTGGCATTTCACTAACATAATTACGGAAGCATATCATATAAACCAGTAATCAGGCATAAAAAAATTCCATCATTCTAACCGCAGCGGCATTCCAGGAGCGCGGGAGGCAGGCAGACATATAGAACAACCCCAGTAAAATGTCAATTTCTTTTACAAAAAATTACTCGGTTTCCCGAACGTTCCAGAACAGGATTTCACCACAGCTAGTTCGCAATTGATTTTAATTTCGTCAAAACTATTGCATATGATTTATACAAATTTTTAATGAATATTTGTGTTAAATATTATGAGGAAAATAGTTTTTTTATTCCTTTATTAGTGGATTTCGGTGACTTGGCCATCAGACACTAAATCCCTTTCAAGGCACCCATGCTACGGCCACTTCCGCACGCGCTGGTTACGCTATATAAGCCACTGCGCCCGTTGCAGTGGCCAGTTCTCTACAGTGTCGAGTCCAGCAACATACAGCATCATGATCAAATTTTTGGTAAGACATTAAGCTCGTTTACTATGCATGTATACATATGCCATGTAAGGCAATATGGCATATAAAGAAGTGTGCTGCACAAGGTTATATTTCATTATTTATCAACAAATTATGTAATTCAATAAGCAGCGGTTGTATTTAAATAATCGACAAATTTTACATGTTATTGAAGGTTATTAAATTTGCGGTTTTCTTGCATATTACGTACATAAAATAGTTACTATTATGCAATATGGAAATCAAAAAGATCGTTCCATTGCGGAAGAACATAGCAGTATGATCGGAGGCCTCGCTCGAAGGCCAATAACGGTTCAAATCTCAAAGAAATAATGAAACCCAGAGTAGTTGGCCGAACCGTAGAAAATATAACTCAGTACTAACTGAAGTGAGTGACAGAGAGCGCATTTTCTCGTCGACGAAAACGTGAAGTCACGGACGGACGGACGGACGGACGGACGGACAGCCGGACGGACAGCCGGACGGACAGACGGACATGGCGAGTACAATATAGTGATTTTTTTTCATAAATGAGAAAATGCTCTAAAAATTATTGGGCCTATATGTAAATTTTCAATCTCCTGTTTTTGAACTCTCGAGAGAAAAAATTTTCAAAATGTGTTGAGACCGTCTCATATTTTGAGCGTTTTCATCATTAGGTATGAACTTCAAGAACAACACCAACATCGACATCATATTTGATGATTACAGATATGAATGAAAATGATGAAATATTTTGATGCTTTTCCATCTTCAAGACTCAATAATACGAACAAGTTTCAAGATCGATCAAAGATGGAACGGGTAAATTTTTCTGCATAAAAAACGTGACAATATCAACAACACACGCAAATACAAGGAAAGCTGACTGACAAGCTATAGGAAATAAGTGTTAATTAGCTCGAAACAGATTCGAGGCAGTGACGAATCGCGTGTACCAAGTAAGGATAAAGTGTTAACATAACAAATGTGAAAGCAATTTAGTTTATTATTAACAATCTGTCTTCAATGATGTGCAGGTTGCTCTCTGTTTGGTGTCAGCCTGCGTGGCGAGACCCCAGTTCGTTTTCTTGGTCGCCGACCAACAGGGCGGACTATCACCAATTCAACCATCAGCTGATCAGATCCAGGCTCTCCTGTCCAATCTCCAGTCTCAGTCCACTTCTGCTGCTGCTGCTGCTCCTGCCACTGCCACTGACTCTGCTGCTGCCCCAGCTGCCGCTGAAGCTGCACCTGCTGCTGCTGTCGAAGCTGCACCTGCTGCCGCTGCTGCTCCAGCTGCTGAAGTCGTTCCTACTGCAAACCCCGCTGCCAACGCCGTGGATCCTCAGTTCCAGTCCTTCATCTTCCCCGATGACGAACCCGCTGTCGTTGCCGCTAAACAAGCTCATTTCGCCGCCGTTATGAAGGCCCGGGGTGGTGCCGCGGCTGTTGAGGCCAACGGGGCTGAGGCCAATGGAGCAGAAGCTAACGGGGCTGAGGCCAATGGAGCAGAAGCTAACGGTAAAGCCAACGGGGCTGAGGCCAACGGCGAGGCCAATGGAGCTGAGGCAGAGGCCGCTGAGGCCGAGGCTGAAGCTGGGGAAGCCGCAGAGGCGGAAGCTGGAGCTGAAGCTGAAGCCGGAGCTGAAGCTGAAGCCGGAGAAGCAGGTGAAGCCGGAGAAGCCGCAGAAGCTGGAGAGGCTGAAGCCGAAGCTGAAGCCGGTGCTGCATGATTCGACATACCTGTGATATTATTTAACAACGAATTGTAGATAAAAATAGCTGTAAGTAGCCACGGCTTTTTTGTAAATGTTGCTTAAAAAGCGACGCTCCAAAGACGCAACACTCCCTGTATTAATTTTTAATTCAGCAGCTCACAGGCGCCATTAAAAACTTGAACATTCAATTCTAGGTGTGAACATTCAGCTCGTGTCTGCGCAATGTAAAATCAAACGTCCTTCAGCTCATTGTGCCTGAGCAGACCTATCCTTCCTCTGTATGTAAGCCTTGTTAAAAGTCGTGTGCTTTCTGGCATTATGCGATCGAATAAATTATGTAGAGACTTTTGTTCTATTTTTGCTCCCGCTTCTTGAGTTCACAACTTGGAACTTGCTCGGATAGCTCATGAACGCTCTGGGATGAGGCTATGCATTCTGAACACTCAATATGAAATAAAAATACTGCACGCGAATTAGAGTTCTGAATTCATGAACGCAATTTGACTGCGTTTATGACAACGAGTTCCGCCTAACTCTAATTCAGGCCGAGTCTTTCAAACACTCGGATTTCCTAGTTAACCGCGATTTAACTCAAATCTTTCGATTCAGTTTTTTTTTTACAATCGACGAATTTTGTTTTTAGTTTTGCCTCTTGAGTTTGAAAATGAAACTTTCTGCAATCTTTCATTATCTGAGAAAATGTTAATTTTTAAAAGGAATTTATTTTAAATTTTTCGAACGTTAAAGGCATTTAAAAGCCAATATCCCCATATATTTGATTGTGGGTGTACATGTATCTGGATTGATGAATGGATAAAATATGCGTATACGATCGATTACTTCAATATTATTTAAGCGATGACAAAATGGCATGGAATAAGTTAGAGGACTGATTGAAATGCGCAACTGAGGCGAGTATCGCGATAATCATATGCATATATTTCAATAAATATTTCAGCTCTAAGCCAAAGACGAGGGTGCGACCTCGAGCTTTGACATTTGGGAGCTGGAGCACAAAATTCTTGGCATTATCCCAAATGTTTCCTTCTTGGCCTCAAGTCTATTGTTGAACTTTACTTCAATCTTTTACCCGTTGACTGGCATTCACTCGACCGATGGCAATAGTTCTGGACCAGCTCATATGCACTGGACACCAATGATTTCCCCACTACACTGAGCTATTGAAAAATAAACAACTGCTATTGCTTACAGCCACTCATTTCTCTCACCGATTTACTGAAAATGAAACAACTGCTATTGTTGACAGACAATAGTTTCCCCCCGCCGATGTACTAAGAATGAAATAACTGCTATTTCTGACAGCCAGTAATATCCAGATTGATCTACCGAGAAAATGAAACATCAACTACTGAAACGAACATACTAAATATCTTTCAAGATCGTGCATACGCGAAAATAAAAACTCGTTCTTAAATCATGCATTCATTTATAGAAGCGATGAATTTGGAAAATGTCCCTGTTCTAATGTTACCATTAGATATCTTACCATTAATAACTTAATATTGATATTTATTTTGAATTAAGGTGTGAAATTCACGTTGGAAGTAATGTTGAAAATCTACATATACAATTGGATTTGGATCTAAAATCAAATTCAAGTTCTGAAACTCGTGGACCTGATAACACTTTATGGCCATTTTGCCAGATAATGAAATTTTGCAAGACATCTACCAAGAATTAGAGAAGCTCTGCAGTAATTGAGCTCTGCACAATTCCTTCATTCATCGTAGATATAATTGCATAGTATTACTCGTATTATAATGGAGGAAAAACCAAATTTATTTTGTTTGGACGTACGCACTACGCAGGTAGTTGAACAGTCCAAGGCCATCTTAACTTAATTTTGGCCCTCAATTACGATTCAGTTGAAGAAGGCTGATTTCATTATTAAATTTATAACAGGAATAATAATGCTTATTTGACGTACATTTTAGCCTTCAATTTACTGTTTCAGACCCGCAAAAACTTGCTTGGCAGCCTCACTCCGGAGCTCAAGGCTGAGATGACATAAGCGTGGGCATCCACGTGCGATTCAACAATTATACTATGAACATGTAAACAATTTCGCGCCCGACCTAAGCCATATCTTGATACCTAATTCCCAGTATCTGAATGACACTAATTTTTTAACGACATTTATCTACATATTTTGGGTAGGATGACATTTTTAGCTGCAACTCATATATTGAAATATTTAGATTCCTAATAAAATTAGACAATGACACATTGATACTTAATTTTTTATTTTGAGAAAAGGGTCGTTGATAAAACAAAACATTACGCGATCAGATGTAATGCCATGTATATACATATAGAGGTATAGCGGTGTCAGCGTTTATTAGGCCGTAGGCCTGTCGCCGATTCTTAACATCGCAGAACATTCACAGCATTTTGCGGTCTCGAACTCGCAACTTACTGCTTGAATTCTTCAGTGCTTTAACCGCCCGGCCTCCTCGCCGATTCTGACCAGAAACTGGCGCACGGAGCTGGTATCAAACAGCGCCTCTCTGCTCCAATCTTGGAACTCTGAACTTTAAACACGGGTCCACCATATGAACTGAATAATATTACCAAAATTTATCACTGTTAGGGAAAATTTTTGAGTTTATATACGTGAAACAAATTTAAATGAAGTACATCGTTAATGCATTGTTTGGAGTAATGCAATTTAATAAACGAGTGAATCATACGTTAGCTGGTGGACTAAAGCTTGTTCGGGAAACGAAATTTCATCATCTACGTAGGTGCCAGAAAATGCTAACCGCTTCCATTCAAGTTGCATGTGTTTGTGTACACTAAATACCAATCCCCTCCAAAAACAAACATACTTATACACAAGCAAACCATCAGCTTTATGGCTGACCTAAAACCTGGAAAATACAGAAAAAAGGCATAAAAATGCATAGCGAATGAATGGAAATTGTAAATTGTACGTACCTATTTATCGTACCATTACGAAAGCTCTCAATAATTGTGATCAGATCTCAAAGGAGCATAAAAGAGCGACACGTATCCACGCTACGCAGGTTAGACTCCGGCACATATAATCATTAATTTAAACACTTAGAAAAATAATTCGAGCTAATAAATTAACCTGTAAATGCACCAGGAACACCAGACTGTACTGCCGAAGAGCTTGTATGTGACCCGAACTCATATCTCGCACTGTCCTTGCTGTTGAATGTCTTAATTTATTGTATAAAACCTTCAAACTCGTTGATCATAAATCTCTGAGGTATATGTAATCGAATTATCCTGAATTCGCCTACTCATTTCGGACGTCATCAATTTCACTATTAAATGATTATAAAAAAATTCAGTCGGTAATTCAACAATTCTCAAGCACCAATAACATTCGTGCTATTTTCTGAATGATAAAAATTTAGTAAATGGCAAAAACACTTTTATGTTTGAATCGTGCCATCAAATATTGTGAATTTTGTTTAGAATGCCCAGGGGGTAACCATTAACCAATCACGCCCTAGCGTCGTATTCTGGACAACGTCGTGGGGCGAAAATCTGCTAAGGAGTAATTGCTGCCAAGTTCTTCTATAGAAATCGATTCGTATAATGTAATCAATATTTCACAGTGTAACTTTAGAAACTTTAAAACCGAATTATCGTTTACTCACAATATTATTTTGATNAAGTAGACATCCATGTAGGGAAGGTGAAACATAAAAATAACTGTGTAAAAATAACTGTAAGCAAACTGAAACATGAAAAAATACCTGTAAGTGGCAACTGGTAACAACTTAACAAGAAACAACTAACATGTTGACACTAGTAACAGGCTGAGGTTGACAACATTACACCGAAATATTTCGTACAGTTTTATTCTGTAATTTATATTATGTATGTATCATGCTGGTTTTTATATAATATTTAATAAAATTATAATAAAATAATAGTAAAGATTTTACTTAATTACTGTTAAGTAAAATCTAAAGGCTTTATCTATAAATGTAGCGGTAGCGCTGTAGCGGCAAAACCTCGTATCGCTACTTAAATATGTAGCATGCGCTACCGCTACCGCTACATTGCCTTACATGTAGCGCCGCTACCGCTACATGTAGCGCGCTACTGCCCACCTCTGCCGGCAGGGTGGCAGTTTTTTTACGTAGAATAGATTGTAGAAACTGAATAGAAAATTCAAAATTGTCCCCGTTAGTAATGTTGAATTTAATCAGCATTATTTTCATAATAGAGGCATATAAGTTGAAAGAATTTTAATGCCTTAACAAAAATGAAACAAAGTGACCAACAACGCTGTCATGCATCGGTGCGCCGGTGGTGGCATTTACAAGTGTGCAGTGATTTCGGTCATGCCATTCGCGGGAAAATGTGTAGAAATTTTTGGAATGGAGCATTTTTTTAAATCTCAAAATCCAATATATCAATAGCAAAACATCCGTACATTCATGCTGCATTACAGGACAAAAATTTCGATATATATGTAGGTTTAGGCGAGCCACTATAGCGCTTATACACGAGGCCATATCACCATAATCAGCGGTGGTAATAAAGTATTTGGGAGCTGACCGCCACTATACTGGTCCACAACAGCAGAGCCTTGTGTAATAATCTGATGAAAATAATCCAGCTTTTCAAACCAATTCATTATGAAATGTGGTAATTTAGAATGTTATTTATGAGTATCAATTTTATTTATTAAAATAAACCTCGAATATTTGAATCTCACATCGATAGATATTGAATAGATCTAGAGAGGGTAAATAGATATTGGATTTCATACTTTTTTCACCAATGCAAAGTTTCCCTGGCGGGACCTCGCGGTTCCGACCCGCCGAGCCTCGTTATGGCGACACACAGAGACGGTCCTTGAACTTCTCGGGTTTGATCGACGTTGTCGCAGTTTCCGTCTTATAAGCCATGCTTTTGTGCATCATGTATAAATAGAATTTATTTATACGCGTGCGATTAACGACCAGAGAATTCGTTGATTTAAATTATCAAAGAGTCGGACAATTCTTCAGATGACATTGGTAGATCGAAAGGCATATATCGGGAAGTAGTTTTAGTTTATTAACGACGTTTCGAATGTAACGAACATTCATTTTCAAGTTACAAAGTAAAAAATATAACTCAGTACTCACTGCAGTGAGTGACAGAGAGCGCATTTTCTCGTCGACGAAAACTTGAGGTCACGGACGAACGGACAGACGGACATGGCGAGCACAATAGTGCATTTTTTCCATAAATGAGAAAATGCGCTAAAAAGCATACAAATACATATAGAATGAATGAAAATTGTAAATTGTACCTATTTATCGTACCATTACGAAAGCTCTCAATAATTGTGA